ATAGATAGATAGATAGATAGATAGATAGATAGATAGATAGATAGATAGATAGAATTCTGTATTGGCGAAGTTTGATTGGACACACAAAGAATTTTTCTTTGGTGCATAAACTCTCAGTGTACATAAAAGACAAGATACATTTGTCAAGAATCACAAGGTACAACACTGAATGATAGTCATACGGTACAAATAAATAATCAGGAAACAACCAATATCAATATAAATCATAAGGATGCAAGTAACAGAGTTACAGTCCTACAGTTATAAGTGGGAGGAGATGGGTGATAGGAACAATGAGAAGACTAATAGTCATAGTAATGCAGCCTTAGTGAATAGTTTGACACTGTTGAGGGAATTATTTGTTTAGCAGAGTGATAGTGTTCGGGAAAAAACTGTTCTTGTGTCTAGTTGTCTTGATGTGCCGTGCTCTATAGTGTCATTTTGAGGGTAGGAGTTGAAACAATTTACGTCCAGGATGTGAGGTGTCTGTAAATATTTTCACAACCCTCTTTTTGACTTGTGCAGTGTACAGTCCTCAATGGAAGGCAAGTTGACAGTAATTGTTTTTTCTGCAGTTCTAATTATCTCTGAAGTCTATGTCTTGTTGGGCTGTAGAGCCAAACCAGACAGTTATAGAGGTGCAGATGACAGACTCAATGATTCCTTTGTAGAACTGAATCAGCAGCTCCTTGGGCAGTTTGAGCTTTCTGAGTTGGCGCAGAAAGAACATTTCTTGTTGTGGTTTTTTGATGACGTTTTTGATGTTAGGCGTCTCTTTTAGGTCTTGGGATATGATAGAGCCTAGAAATTTGAAGGTTTCTACTGTTGATACTGTGTTGTCTTGTATTGTAAGAGGTGGTAGTATGGGAGGGTGGTATGGTCTACCACCATTTCTACGGTTTTGAGTGTGTTCAGTTCCAGATCGTTCCGGTCGCTAGTTGTTCAACCTCCCGTCTGTATGCAGTTTCATCGTCTCGAATGAGACCAATCACTGTTATATCATCTGCAAACTTCAGTAGTTTAACAGATGGATCATTTGTTTGGGGACTAGAAAAGATTAAAAGGGATGGGGAAGACAATTACTAACTAAGAGGGGAGAAAAGAGGGAAGAGAAAGAGCAAGATGGCAACTACTCAACCAAAAGAAAGGCAGAAGTCATAATTCTATTCCTCCTTCCTTTTTCTCTTTCTTCTCTTTTATACTTTGATTCTATTTAAAAATTCTAAATAAATGTAAGGTTTGCTAGTTCAGTATAGTGTAGTCTAACGAATCTAGTCTAGATGTCTATGAAAGAGAAGGACTGGGATGACCTGATAGCAGTCTTCCAGTGTTTGAGGGGCTGTCGGGGAGAGGGTGGGATGGGCTTGTTCTCCAAAGCACCTGAAGGCAGGAGAAGCAGCAATGGGTGGAAACTAATCAAGGAGAGAACCAACTAAGGAGGAATTTCCAGATCAGTGGAATGAGTTGCCTCCAGAAGTTGTAGATGCTCCATCACTGGGTGTTTTTGAGAAGTGACTGGACAGCCATTTTTCCAGGGTGGTATAGGTTCTCCTGATGGAGTAGAGAGTTGGACTAGAAGGCCTCCAATGTTCCTTCCAACTCTGTTATTCTGTACTCTGTAATAATCCTGTGATCCAAGGGTCTTTCAAGCCCATTTGGCCTGCCGAAAGAAATTCCTAGTAAGCCTTTCTTCTGTTCTGATGCAGCCAAAGCTAGCCAGCTCTGTGGGAATAGCAGGACTTCTCCTGTTCTATCTTGTTCAGTATTTTGGGCAGTAATCTAATATTTCTTGGATACTCCCCTGCTTCTGCATACCCAGAACAGAATAGTTTTGGGTTATCACCTTATTTCCTTTCTTTTCTTCCATTCTGAGGACAGCTGCAGCCTCTGTCATTTGCTCCACTGGACAACAACTGCTCAGGAATCCCTTTTTCCCCCTTGTTGAATGTTTGCTCTACCAACCATGGCAAGAAAGTGGGGTTAAAGGAAAGAGTCCCTATTTCCCGCCTTCTTCTACAAATACTCGGATTTGTCTGGCTTTCTATAAACGCAGGCAGATATCTGATTTTTAAAACATTACACCGTGCTTTGGATAAGTGATTTTGATCCCAAAAGGATGTTATATACTTAACAGTATATGACTTAGAGTGACTATGTATTAAGAGCCATGCTGGTGCAGTGGTTAGAATGCAGTATTGCAAGTGAATTTTGCCAACTGCCAGGAGTTCAGTCCTGACCGGCTGAAGATTGACTCAGCCTTCCATCCTTCCAAGGTCGGTAAAATGAGGACCCAGATTGTTGGGGGCAATATGCTGATTATGTAAATTGCTTAGAGAGGGCATTAAAGCACTGTGAAGCAGTATATAAGTCTAATGCTATTGCTAGAGAAATGAAAGTTTTGAGACAAAATATTTTATCTTTTTCTTTTTTGAAGTGTTTTGAATTGATAGCCATTAGCAATAGTCAATTATTTCATATTGTGAGGCAGGTTGAACAGAGAGAGAGGGGGGTGGGAGTGATGGGCCCAGAGTCACCCAGTCAGCTTTCATGGCTAAGGCTGGGTTAGAACTCACAGTCTCCTGCTTTCTAGCCTTAACCCCCAGCCCAAACTATCTTTCATAATATTAACATACTGTATATTTTGATGATTTGGAAATAACAAATTATGTGACTTGTTCAGTAGCATTGAGTGACTGGAGAGGGGTTGTATGGGAGGGATTTTGCTTCTCTCACCTTACTCTTATTTCTCTGACAGCAAAAGGCCAAAGATAACCGGGCAGCCCATCGCATCAACAAGGTGCAGAAGGTAGGTAAGACAATAGATATGAAACAGGATTGGTTGAAACCAGGACAGGGAAATTTGGGGAAACTAGGCGCTGACATGCCGTGGTACCCGTATGGAATATATTCTTACCAAGGTTGTATGTAATTCTGTGCCTCAAAAAGCTGAATCCTGTGTTGGATTTTGACCCCTAACCCGTTCCCCTGAAAAGAAGATCTTTTTCGGGCTTTTGAGCACATGCACTAAAATAAGCCCTCCCCTGAAAATATTGCAACACAGCAGCAGCCATGAGGTGACAATGCTCGCTGCCTCCTGCACCTCAAAAATAAAAAGACCTCCCCGAAAATAAGGCGAAGCGCTTATTTCAGGGGTCAAAAGAAAATAAGACACTGTCTTATGTTTTGGGAAACGGTATTTTTCAGTACACATTAATCAAATTTAGAGAGAGACAGAACAGAGACCATTGATGGTGCCTCAGGGTTTTTCAAGGGTCACTTAGATACTCTTCTTCTCCTGCCTCCCCAGGAATATCTGGCTTCCCACGTCCCTTAAAACTTTAAACTCTTCGTATTTTGCCTTTGCGTCTGCTCTTCTGGCATTGACAATGCCTTTGTCCCTCTGGGGCACTTTCTTCTCCTTTTTCCACAGCAAGCTGAGAGCCAGATCAGCAAACAAACCAAAGTGGAGGTGCTGCGAAGGCCTGACCGCCCCACGCTTCATCTGCGCATACCATCTCAGCCGGGGGTGCTGCCTGGTGCCCCTCAGCCGTTGCCACCTTCTTCCTCTACTGCTTCAGCCTCGGGACAGTCCCTCTACATTAATCACACTGCAGCTCTGCCAAGTGGGCCGGGTATTGAGTCGCCCAGTGAGCTCTTCCTTAAGCTTCCCTCTTCTGCCACCAGTGCCCAGCCCCCTGTGCAAGTGCCTTTGCACGAGCCCTACGGCATGGCCTCTGCTTGCCCCCCACCAGATCCAGGTTTTCCTTCCCCCTCCTTGGTGGGCCAGAGTCCTACAGTGCCTAGCGGCTTTGTCTCTTCCTCTTCTGCCTCCTCTGGACAATCTCCGCTCCTACCAAACCTTCGTCCGTCCCCGCAAGCTGGAGAGTTGCAGCCCACCCCACCTGGAACCCCAAGGCATCAGCCCTCCACGCCGGACCCTTTCCTTAAGCCACGCTGCCCCACTGGATCCTTGGAAAACTTGACTGTGCCTGGAAGCCCTCAGCGAGCTGCGCTTCTGCTTTCCCCACCACCCTTTGGGGAGCAGCAAAAAAAGGGATTGGATATCAAGAAGGAAGATTCCGGTCGAGGGATCGGCTCTCCTAGTTACAGCTGCAGCTATAGCAACTCCCCTTCCAGTGCTCTCCCATCCAATGAAATGAAGGCCCCGGACGTTTTTAAAGCCCCTCTCACCCCACGCCAGTCTCAGGTGGAGCCACAAAGCCCAGGTTTAGGGCATCGTCCCCCAGATTCCCACCCTCTGGCTGCTTCCCCACCCAGCCAGGCTGATCTCTACAGGCAGTCGCCTTACCCAGATCCCTATGCCCAGCCCCCACTGACCCCGAGGCCTCAGCCCCAACCCCCAGAGCCCTGCTGCGTTTTGCCTCCCCGCTCGTTGCCTTCGGACCCCTTTTCACGCATACCTGCCAGCCCACAGTCTCAGTCAAGCTCCCAGTCCCCTCTCACTCCCCGTCCCCTCTCCACTGAAGCCTTCTGCCAGTCTCCCGTCACTCCTCGCTTTCAGTCTCCTGACCCCTACTCCCGGCCACCCTCCCGGCCCCAGTCCCGGGACCCCTTTGCCCCCCTGCACAAGCCCCCTCGGGCTCAAATGCCAGATGTTGGCTTCAAGCCGATGCCTGTCTCCCACAATACCCTGGCAGTTGGGAATTTCTCAGCGGTGCCACCCCCTTCTGAGTCCCACCCAAAGACCAACCAGCAGTCTCAGTTTATCCGCTCCCCTGGCGCCAGTGTCTTTCCCAGTGCTCAGCCGCAGATGCGGTTCACCTTCCCTCCCAATGAGCCCATCAAGAACTCTCCTTCACAAGGGGTCAACAGCCATTTTGCTCCTGGCAAACCTCAAAGCACAAGCTACGTTTCTTCACCGGGCTTCCACCAGGCTGGGAGCCCTCTGGGCCCAACCAAGAACACCCCAGATCCGTATACTATCTCCCCGTTGCGACCTCCGTCGATGCTGCCCCAGCAGCCCCCTTCACAGCAAGATGGAGCCATGTCCTTTCTGCCACGAGGAGGCATGCCTTCAAGTGACAAGAGAGAGGAGGGGGCAATAGGACCCCCCAGCAGGGAGCTGCAAGAACTGACGTCCGGCCAGGAGGGGGCTGTTGGCAGCAATGCTACCCAGACAGAGATGGAAAAACAGCGTCAGGTTAGTGGATTACATTGGGCCAGGGAAGTTGGATTTCAGCTTTATGGGAACCAGAGCAGATGGACCGAGAGACAGGAAATGCCTTAATGGTCTTTTTCCAGTCCAGCTACCTGAGCGCGTAGCAATGAAGTGAAGGATGGTAATGAAGAATTATCTGTGTCTTGAAGGAGGCAAGAAAGGCAGATTTGCTTAAAGGGCTTCTGAGCACAAGGTACTCATCACTCTCTCTGCCCTGTTCCTTTGCTCCTCTACTAGCGTCAGAGACTCCGGGAGTTGCTTATCCGTCAGCAGATCCAGAGGAACAACTTGAGGCAAGAAAAAGAGAGCGCAGCAGCCGCAGCCACCGGTGTTCAGTCCTCCTGGAACACCGAGGGCACCGGACCAGGCTTCGAGCAGATCAACCGCAGCATGACTCCTTACCCATCGGCACAGGTAGGGACTGTAGCCCCAGACGGAGACCTGGATCCAACTGCACTGTGAATTGTGGAATCTGGCTTTCCATACTGTTTTTGATATATCCCCCAAAGGATTCTGTCAGGCACGAAAGATAGGGTCCGTGTTCGAAGGACCAATGAAACCGATTTACTGGTATTGGTAAGGCATCTTCTCAACTAGTTGTCAGCATCTGGGAAGAGTTAGATATGGGTCAACAGCACCGAAGAGAGGGTTGGACTTAATTCGCTTGTAGCTATGTAGGGATTCTGGGCTGATGTCCCTTTTCACCCTGCCCTCAGGTTCTGCCATTCCTTCTCCTACAGATTCCATTCAGAATCTGAAAGAGATGCTCTTTCTGACATTCTGGAACAGAGACATTACCAGGGTCTAAATCTGCTCTATCTGTTGTATGCATAACTTTTTACACACACTGGACGCTGCTGGGTCCAGTGTTTTAAAAAATTGATACCGCCCTGGTGGGTTAAATGTGTAGTGTTAAATCTATAATGCTAAATTGTGTTAAATCTAGTGAGATAAATGTTCAAATGAATATAATTGGGTGATGCTCTGAGTGCGCTAAACTTTGTACATTATTTATTTTATTTACTGTATTTTTCGGAGTATAAGACGCACCTGAGTATAAGACGCAGCAAGGTTCTGAAGAGGAAAATTAAAAAAAATATTTTTTGCACTCTGCAAACCTCCCCAAAATTGCCCATTTTTCACGAAAATGGGCTCGTTCCCCCCCCCAAAAAGGGCATGAATAGCCCTTAGGGGTATGTAGAGTGCTCCTAGGGGGTGCCCCCCCAAAAAAACGAGCAATAAATGGCCCATTTTTCACAAAAACAGGTCAGTTTTTTCTCTCAAAAAGGGCACGGATAGCCTTTAGGAAGCTTATAGAGTGCTGGGGTTTAAGGGGGGGGCAAAGAATGGGCCATTTTTTGCTCATTTCTGCCCTCCCCGGCCCCCAGGAGCTCTATAAAAGCCTTCTACAGGATATGCCCGGCCATTTTGGTGAAGGGGCAAAGTTTCAGGAGGCAAAAAATGCTGTATTCAGTATATAAGATGCACCTAGATTTTCAGCCTCTTTTTTTAGGGAAAAAGGTGCATCTTATATTCTGAAAAATATGGTATTTTTTATTTATTCATTAAGTTTTTATGTCGCCCATCTCCCCTATAAGGTGACTTTACATTATGACTTTCTGGAAAGCGTTTTACTCTATATAGAACTCATACTAACAGAAGACAATAGTTGTAGCTCAGGGTTGAACTGTGGGGTTCTTGGTGCTCTCTGAACGTGATTGTTTTCTTGCCTGTGTTTCATTACCCAACAACGTAACATCAACAGTGCTAAAAGTCTGGATGAGACATCTTGGAGGAGAAGTGAAACATCTTCACAAGAGAAAACAAAGTCCAGTTGCCTCCTGAAAACTGCTAGTATGTTGATGTTACCTAGCTGGAAATAAAACACGGGCAAGAAAACAACCAAGCTCAGAGACACAAACGACCCCAAGAACTCAAACTGTTCTGTCAAGCAGTAATAGTTTTGAATGTTGATTCTTCCTTTCTGTAGGACAAGGGACTACTTGGCAGCCTGGGGAGCGCTCCAGGAGGCAGCAAGCTGCCCAGTGGTGTGATGGTACAGTCATCCTATATACAGGAGGACCGAGGCGCCCGGCCACCTCCAGCAGCAACACCCTCTGCCATGGATATCAATGGCAGGTAAAACTCTAGCTGGTGTTAGAAAAGCCAATCCAGTCACAATAGCAAGATGGACTGAAGGAAGGAGGCAAATCATTGATCAGTAGGTCTCACTTTCTAGCCAACAGGAGGTATCTTGCTTGTTTGTGACTCACTCCACCCACATTTATGCACCTCCCCCCCCCGCAAAGCATTCTAGAATTAAGTCGCAGTGGCGCAGTGGTTTGAATGCAGTACTGCAGGCTAATTCTGCTGACTACCAACTGCCTGCAATTTGGCAGTTCAAATCTCACCAGGCTGAAGGTTGACGCAGCTTTCTATCCTTCAGAGGTCAGTAAGTTGAGGACCCAGATTGTTGGGAGCAATAGGCTGACCCTGAAAACCACTTACAGAGGGCACTGCCAAGTGGTATATAAGTCTAAGTGCTATTGCTATTGTGCCACAGAAATTCAGTGATAAAACGATGATATGGAGTAGCAGAAGTAAGCTGTGCATATTATTCATTTATTAAATTTATATTGCTGCCCAATTCTTGGCAACTGTGGTTTACAAATGATTTAAACGGGGGGAAAGTTGCAAACAAAAGGATAGAGATGGCAGAATAGTAAAACTGGATAAAAACAGATACTAGTCACAACTGCCACCTAGTAGGGAAACTGACCCCTATTTTTGAGGATTTCTTCATACTGGCACCATTATATTACCTGGGGGGAGGGGGGAGTTATGAAAGATATTCATCTATCAAATTTGTAAATTTCCCATCTTGCTGTTTGGACCGACTTCAGAAAGCCATTTAGGTTACCCAACCCATTTTTAAAAAATGTCTCCTTTTTCAGGCCATCGGTGACAGCAGCTTCCCAGCCCTTTTATCCCCGCAGTGTCTTCCAAACGCCACCTACACAGCAACAGATGTGGCAACAGCAGCAGCAGCAGCAACAACAAGCAGCATCCATGCGTCTCCCAATCTCTTCACGTTTCCCCCAGCCCCCCACCCAAGACCTAAGTCGACAAACTTTGGGAGGCCTGGCACCACGCCTGCCCAGTCCTGGTGAACAATTTCAGACTTCCTCTGGCCCACTGGGAGCCCAGTTCATTGAGTTGCGGCACCACATCCCAAAGGGAGTGCTAGGAAGTGGAGCTGGCCCTCCCTTCATCCAACAGAATCTTCAGGCTCGACCCAGATTCTTCCTGCCTGGGAACGATAGCACCAATCAGGCTTTGAAAGCTTCTGTTATGCCTGTGCAGGCCCCTGTCCTGGGAAACCAAGGCCTACAATCACAGAAAATCCCTATTTCATCCTCTCTTCAGGATTCAGAGATGAGCAATAATCATCACTCTCATGCCAAGGCCATTCCCCAGTTGATATTGCCCCCCGGCAACATGGAAGTGCGACACATCGCAGCTCGGACACCCTCTTCATCTGTCCCTAAAGATGTACCCCTCACCTCAACTAACATTGATTCTACCCCAGCCGCTGGCAAGAATCAGCTAAGTCTGGTCAGTAGGCCGTTACCTTGCGAGGTCCCTGTGGAACCCGATTTGGATGATGAGTTTGATTCTCACAAGGATCTTGTTGAAGATGATGATGACTTGGCCAACTTAAGCCTTGATCCAGACGTTGCCAAGGGTGATGATGATCTTGACAACCTAGATAACCTGGAAACCAATGACCCTCACCTCGATGATCTATTAAATGGTGATGAGTTTGATTTGCTGGCATATACAGACCCAGAGCTGGATACTGGAGATAAGAAGGATATCTTCAATGAGCATCTGCGGTTGGTGGAATCTGCCAACGAAAAGGCTGAACGTGAGGATCGGCTTAAAAAAGAACCCTCCGTAAGTCCCTACCTCAAGGATGCTCCTTCTGCTGGTGTTGGCAAGCCAGATGAACAGAAGTCACCATTAATTCCCAGAGATGATGTTCCCAAAGTGAAAGAGGGACTTGGTCTTCTTCAGGTTCCCTGTTCATCTTCTGCAAGGGTGTCTCCATCCCCCATCCTTGCAACCTTCAAGGCCCAAAGTGACCTGCTGGACAGCAAAATGCCTAGCCTGCCAGCTGATATCAAACCCAAGATAGAAGAAGGGTGTTTAAAATCCTCGCCCTGCCAGTTTAACACTAGCACTGTAGAGAAGCCTCCTGTGAAATCTGAAGGAGCAGAGAAAATGATTGCTACTTTAGGAGTCAACATCAAAACCAACCAGAATCTTATGAGTCCTGGTGGAGTGCAACTTGGCATGACTCAGTTCCACAGCAACAATCACCCTCCCATATCAGATAAAGTCCTCTACAGCACCCAAACTCGTCCATCGCTTATTCCTGTCTCAATGCCCAACAACACTAATTCCATCCTGGAAAAGTTTGAGCTAGATGGAGGACCCTTGAGTTTGAGTAGCAGTCAACAGCATTCTCCAGCTGATGAACTAGACAAAATGGAAAGCTCCTTGGTGGCCAGTGAGCTCCCTCTCCTGATTGAAGATCTGCTGGAACATGAAAAGAAGGAACTGCAGAAGAAACAGCAGATGTCTGCCCAAATGCCAGGGGGTTCCCAACACCTCCAGCCCCACACTGTATTGGCACATCCTGCTCCCCCTCCCCAACCTCATGATGGGCAGCTAGTAAGTCCTCAGCAACAGCTTCAGTTGAGCATTGTGGCCAGACCACAGGGCATGGTGGGCAACCAGCAACTGATGCAGCAGCAGCAGCAACAACGTCTGGCTGGTCCCCAGCAAAACCAAGGGCTAGCACCACACCTGGCAGTGCCTCAGAACCAATCTCAACTGCTTCCCCCCCAGCATGGCATGCAGGCAGCTCACAGCCAACAGACCCAACAGCAGCTCTTAGCCCAGAAGAATATGCAAGGTGTCCAGCAGCAGCAGCAGCAAATGATGGGACTTAAGCCTCAGCAAATTGTGATGCAACAGCAGCAGCAGCAACAACAGCAGCAGCAGCAGCAGCAGCAGCAGTTGGCTAACAGTTTCTTCCCTGATACTGGTATGTATCAGGTGTAAAAGATCAGGACCACATGCGAAATTCCAGTTAAACTTTATTACTAATTATACCTATATATAAGCATCTACTCAGCTAATGGTTAGCACTAACTTGACATTAGATAAGGATCAATGGAATTCAAGAGGGTTGGATTTGGTCCATTTGTGACTATATAGAGACTCTAGGCTAATTCCTCTTTTGACTCCACTGCCAGATTCTGCCATTCTTTCTCTTACATGATGGGAATTACAGCTAATCCCTGGGTTACGAGGGTTCATTTAGCACCCAGCGCCCATTCAAAGTTATGAGATAAGCACCTCCTAGTGTTTACGAGCAAGTCCCAAAATTACAAATGTTGCAGCACCGCAGCGTTCACCCTTACAAAAGACTGCAGGTCAGCAACATTCACCCTATTTCCCCCGCTCCCCATAGCTGCTTCCCCTCCCATTCTGCCCGGGGCTGGACTCACTTACCTTACAAGATCGGTCTCCTCTCTGCCATGGTTACTTTGCTTTTGAGGGACAGGAGAGTTGATGGAAGCTCTTGGGTGTCGTAATATTGTGCGAGTTCAGGCACCTATTTTGCAGTGACTGGGTGCCTGAACTCATGCAAGATCACAGACCACAGAAACATTCATTCTTGGCACGAAAACTGTTTGCAATGCCTGCCTTCTGCTTCTCCTCCCCAACTTCTTTCTGCTGCCACCAGGATACTTTTTGCTGAGACGGAGATTGAAAGCTGCTTCACTGAGGAATTCTCTCCCTTTTGAAATGCCCCATAGACATCTACGAGACCTTTTAAAATGGAGGGATTCACTTTTTTTGAAACACGCCATAGACGCCTATGAGGCCTTTGAAAATGGAGCAAATCGCTCCATTTTCAAAGGCCTCATAGATATTTCTGGGGCGTTTCAAAATGAAGCAAATCCATCGATTTTCAAAGGCCTCATAGGTGCCTATGGGTCATTTCAATACGGAGCAAATCCCTCTGTTTTCAAAGGCCCCACACAGTTGCACACAGATGAAGCATCCAGTCTCCATCAGGTCTCCATCTAGATGAAAAGTGTCCCGGTGGTGGTGGAAAGGAGGTGGGGGATGAGTAGGTGACAGGCACCGCAAACACTTTTCGCGCCCAGGAGCTTCCATCGACTCTTCTCTCCCTCAGAGCGAAAAAAAGAATCGGCAGAGAGGAGACAGATCTTTGCAAGATAAGTGAGTGCAGCGCAGCAAGGAGTGGGAAGTATGAGGTATCTTAGTGAGTTGGGGAGGCCTTGGGGGCCTGCTCCATCACTATTCCTCCCCCCCGGTCTTCCCCACCCTGAGATACCTCATGTGCACTTAATGAACTGTGCATTCACCTACATATTAAATTAGCGAATGCATGCACGAAAGCAGGGAGTGATCTCATTCAAGGTACGAGATTCACTCCCACAAATCCTCGAGGTACAAATGGAATGGGCAGGCTCAATTACATTCATAACTTGAGGATTCCCTGTATATCAGCCTATTTATTTCATTTTGGCCAGGATATGTAGAGTTCTTAATTGCCATTATGCAAGTCCTGCTTTAATTGCAAGTTAAAATTTGCTATTCTAACTAATTAAAGGGGCTAACAGAAAAGGAAATATGTGGAGAATTGAATGCCATGGCATTTTCAATGCCAAACCTGATCTAAATTCAAAGGCAGTCTTTTCTTAATCTGCTAAGAAAAGCACATAGTTTAACATGAATAACAAATATCCAAGTGCAATATACAGTATGTGTGTGTGTACATTCTGTTTTCAATGTGATCTGAGCGAATCAGCCTAGATCACACCTAGCCTTTATTTTCATCTTATCATTTCTATCTACTGACTTAAATAGCTTCAGCCAACTGGAAGCTGTGTAGCAGCACATCTGAAAAACGCATCAAAATTCCATAGGGCATATCTATATGTAACTGTGCGTACAGGGAGGATACCATATCAGTCAGGTGAGATTTATACATATGAAGAAGAGCTCTAAAGAATTAGTTCTCTGTGAGTTTAGAGCTGTCATATGGTGAGCTCAATTCACTCCCATATTAGAAATAGTAGCCTGAAGCTGCTGTAGATTGGTGGTGATGTTTGTTTGAGTTTCCTGTATGCAAGCAATAGAAATCCAGGTGATCATTAAATGGCAGCAGAGAATTGGAGTTTAATATTTCCAGCAAGTCTTCAGCAAGGGGTGATTTTCTGGTCAACTAACTGTTTGTTTTAGTGAATTATGCATTAGATCACAAGTGCTTTTAATGTTGAGATATCAGCAATGCATAGCCTCCTCATGTGTTGGTCTCTTTTCTCTCTTGTTTGTACCTCCCACCTCCTGTCCCCCATGTGCTTGTAAAGATCTAGATAAATTTGCTACTGAGGACATAATGGATCCCATTGCCAAAGCCAAGATGGTAGCTCTAAAGGGTATCAAGAAGGTCATGGCACAAGGCAGCATTGGGGTTGCTCCGGGCATGAACAGGTAAGCAGAAAACTGGACCGTTGATGGACCAGAAGGTATTAAGGCAGGATGCCCATGTAACAATAGCAGCAGTTGTTCGACAGAATTTGAACTTCTTCCTCATTTTATTTAAATTCAAATAGCGAGTTTTGTAAGTAAAAGATAAATGATTATTTGAACCAGCCCTCCTGCCTGAGTTAATATAGTAGTCTGGTGCCTACTGAACTGGGGTCTGTGCTCCAGAGTAAGTAGAGAAGGGCTACTCTAGCTTACATGGCAGTGTCTTTAATTTTCATTTGATTATTGAGGAGACAATCATTAATATTACATGAATATTCTGGAAGCAGTGGCTTTCTAATTATGGCTCCTGATGAGATACTTACATTGCAATAATAAAAACTTTAAAAGGCCATTTGTCCCTTCCTGTCTTTTGAAGGAAGTTCTTGTTTAACAACCAGTTGCATAGTTGTTAAGCAAAATCGCTTAATGGTTGTTACGGTTCTAGCAGACCCCTCAAAAGCTACTTATGATCCAGTCCCAAAATCACAGCTGTTGCACCACTCCTATGGTTGTTTGTCGCTACAACTGACCACAGAAATGTTGCAGTGTTCCCACATCTACTCTCCCCCCCCCTCCCTTGGGTCCACTCAGGCAGGGGTGAAATGCTACTGGTTCAGGCTGATAGTAAAAATGCTATGGTTTGCCTGAACCGGTAGTAAAAAAAGAAAAAGTAAAAAAAAAAAAACAGTTCTGTCGATCAGTTATGCAACAACCAGCTGTGCCCCATAATTTTATTATATATAATCTAAATCGTGCGGCACAGCTGTTCCCCCCCCCCCGCTGTTCTACTTACCTTTGCAGACTTAGAAAATGCTTTTTAGCACCTGTGGTGCGCATGCGCGCACAAAGCAAACCAGTAGCAGATTTCAGAGGCATTTCACCCCTGCGCTTAGGCCTTTCCTCACCATCAGTGGGGTCTCCACAGCCTTTTTCTCCCCCATTAGATCCCTGCAGAGCTTGGGACTCCTCCCACCCACCCTCTGTCATTGATGGCACACTTTGAAAACCTTTGATGCTCTGGAGGTTTCTGCAGTGCTGAGTAACCTGAGTGACCTCATGGCACGTTTCCAGAAGCAGCTACCATTTTCCAAGTGATCAAAATTGAATGTGGCCACTTGGGAAATGGCGGCTGCTTCTGAATCACATCATGCAGCTGCCTGACAAAGCAGTCCCTTCTGCTTCTGCACAGCACTGCATGCGCCTCCTCGGAAACTTTCACCAACCTGGAAGGTCATGAATCGAATAAAAAGGTGACCAAACTCACACTTTGTTTGCTTCCTTGGGGCCAAGAGGTTGCACCTGCACCCCAGACATCTCCACAGGCCCTGTGTACCAAGGCTAGCCTCAGTTGGAAACAAATATTTTGTTCGCTCTTTTGATTTGGTTGATGTGCCAACAACTTACCAGCATTTTTGCAGATTCCCAATAATTTAACTTTAATTCTCCTCAAAGCAGTTTAACCTGCTCAGCATAGAAATCAGCTAGCCCCATGTTGGCTAACATAAAAGCATTGTAAGTTTGTTTGGTAGGGGTTTTTTTGCATTGACTGAATTAAACTTTCTTTAATTCCTGTTGATACTGAAGATTTTAAAATTTCCCTCACCAAGCAACATAAATAATGATCCAGGTCCTTCCATTCACCTTACATGCATCCCAAATTATCTGAATATTAGTTGGATTACATTTTTTTAAATGATAATATTTGCTGTCTAATATAAGTAGGAAAATTATTACATTATTACATTATCACAGATGTATTAAAATTCTACCATGAACTAACATTTTTAAATTGAAGTGTTTCTATGATTGAAGCTTCATCTGATGCAACAGCCTTAGAATCTAAAACACAATCTAATAGAAGACAAAATAAAAAAATATTCATAAAAAATTTGTGGCATGAGAAGTAAATGTATAATTCCTAGTGGGATTATAGTGAGATAAAGTTTATGACAAATATACAGAATTAAATGCATGGAAACAAGCATAAAACATTTTCTAATTCCGATTACAAAGTACATTTTAGGTAGGATGCTCCATAATAAAATCAAAGGCATAATTGAGATCACTACCAAAAATTGTTGAATTATCTAGTGCTATCAGTCTCAGACAATGTGGTCATTAAGTGAAGGGAGATGGAAATTGCAGTCCAAAAGCTTAATGGAGATCCAGATGTTGCCCATCCAATCCTAGACTAATACTAGCTGTATCCATTATATTTATATGGTATCTTCCAATCACTCTCTGTCTTGCATCCTTCCTCCTTCTAGGCAACAAGTCTCCTTGCTGGCTCAGAGGTTATCTGGAGCTTCATCTTCATCTGAAGTGACAAATCACATTTTACCTGTAACTGGAGGGCAGGTGAGCAGTGATTGGCAGGCCATGTGACATTTTCTGTTGGTGGGTTTGGGGGGAGGTGAGGTGATTCAGTTGTTGTCAGGTGCAACAACCAAACCCACATGTGCAGAGTTCAAGCAAATTACTTTATTCTGCCTATAATACAGGAATCTTCCCCAAGCCTGGCAGTTTTCTCCTGGGAGCTATTACATAAGGCCCTGCCAAGGAACCTTGAGGCTGGGGGGGGCTGGAGGTGTTGGTCATAGCCCTTTTGCTGTTGCGCAGCAATTCTAGGCTGACTATGTGCTTGATCCCTCATCCCTGCCAAGCTGAATGTTTCTGCACAATTGGCAGTGGAGAATAAGAGATGCTACAGAGAGAATAGTAGGTGGAGATTCATTTTAACCAGGGGTGAAATCCAGCAGGTTCTGATAGGTTCTGGAGAACTGGTAGTGGAAATTTTGAGTAGTTTGGAGAACTGGCAAATGCCACCTCTGGCTGACCCCAGAGTGTGATGGGAATGGAGATTTTGCAGTATCATTGCTCTGCCACGCTCACCAAACCACGCCCACAGAACCAGTAGTACAATTGAATTTCACCACTGATTTTAACCGTAAAAGTTTATTAGGTTACTTTTAAGTTATCTCAAGGAATAAAGTATAGGAGGGGGAGGGTTTTTTTTCAAAAATCCATTTTGAGGTAGTTTGTGCATAAATGAAATGGCTATTGTAAAATATTTTTAAAAATATAAGGCTGCTTATAGTTATTATAATTTAAACTTCCTTGCAGGAGCGCAACAATGATCCAGCACAGGCTCGTCCAAACCCTCCAACTTTTGCTCAAGGTGTCATCAGTGAGTAGCTGGCCGCCTAGACTGGGTTCTGCTGGGTAGTGCTTTTCTTTGAAGTCTCTTCTTAGCTCATCTTACATACAATACAGTTATTTGCGGAGATCATTTTGGATTGCTTAATTTGGAATAGCTATTGCTTTCAGGTTCCAAGTACAATTTCTGTGCTGCATAAAAATATTTCTGTTCATGAACGTGTGGAAGGTTGACACAAAAGGCTAGCAACGTAATTCTTATTTTTATTGGCTTGTTGTGTTAAAATCAAACTTGGTACACAGATGATTTACTCTCTGGAAACAAATACTGTGGGGGTAAGACACCCCTAAGACTCCTTGGGATGTGTGTTCTGTTACAATACAGCCTGTTGTGCCTTCAAATAGCTTCTACTGCCGTAAAATGGCTTCTACTGTACAGCGCAGTGGAGTTGCCATGGTAATGGCTTCACAGTACTCCACAAGGGAGCTTCCCATGGTAAGGTGGAAAATCCAACATTAGAAATTACGGACATTTTGCCCCTATAAATAAATACCCCGACAACGCCAGGTTATCAGCTAGTCGCTATAAAAACAGACTGAACATTTTTTAAAAACTGGCTGAAGACTGTTGAAAAATAATATACAACCTTGAAAATGACTGTTATCATTCAATCATATTTTCTTTTTTAGTCTACATGCAATTGGTAGATTCAATAACTTTGTAAAGCACTTACTGGATGCTAGTTGGCATGCTGAAAAATGGAAGAGAAATGTCTTGTCATCTTTAGCTCTATTGAATAAGTGGTTTGTTTGCCAATACAAATAAGCATTTTTAAGGGCAGTTCATGCGTTGTGATGTTTCTGGGGTGCCTTAGTTACCCACAGAGATGCCTGAACAGGAGAAGTGCTTTCACCGAAACTAGCCTGTCACATTGCAGTGCAATAATGTGGTTTGCTGAAGTCTGGCTTAGCGTAATGTGTGAAATCTGCCATTGTAGTTTGATATCCAGGCTTTATCCAATGTACTGTGTAAGCTAGGTCATTATGACAATCAAGAAACCACGTTTTAACTAATAACATTAATATTAATAGCAATGTTAATATGATGGAGGCAGCAGCGTCAGCGCCTAATGCAGCACATTTGTAGTTTTTGTCTTCCTTTTTTCTCATCCTGAGATATTAGTTCCTAGCACAAAAAGTAAATCCAGAAAAACTGGAAGAAAGTGGGGGGGGGGAATCCTGAAGATTTTAATATCAAACAAGCAAATGTACCTATCCTGTGCTGCTTCCTGCAGTGTTTGGTCTTGACTTGCTGCAGATGCTAGCGGTTTTTGTTTTTCCTATGCAAGGCATGATTCATAGGTGTGGCTCTCCAGCTACCCAAATCCTCCTCTTCTGTTTCCATCTCCAGATGAGGCTGATCAGCGTCAGTATGAAGAGTGGCTTTTCCACACCCAGCAGCTTCTCCAGATGCAGCTGAAGGTGCTGGAGGAGCAAATCGGGGTGCACCGCAAGTCCCGCAAGGCCCTGTGTGCCAAGCAGCGGACGGCTAAAAAGGCCGGCCGTGAGTTCCCGGAGGCTGACGCTGAAAAGCTGAAGCTTGTAACTGAGCAACAGAGCAAGATCCAAAAGCAGCTGGATCAGGTATGTTCCCGTATCGGGGCTCTCTCTACGCCCGGTTCCTGATTTGACCAAGAAAGTGGCAGACCTGCCTGTGTTTCTGTGCATACGTGCACAACATTAGCAGGCCCTAAGTTATTTATTCATTGATAGTTTAATTCACCCGGTAACTGAGAGCTGTTTGTGCAGTTTCAACTGTGGCTGAAAGATCCTCAAAGATCATCACCACCTATGGAAACAGAACCAAAATAACGTAAGAATGGGTGAGATGGGCAGCAGACAGAGAATAAATGAAATAAGAATAACAACTAATATAAGAACAAGAGATTTGTTGTTTCCTCTGGAGTGAGGGGTGCCAACAGAGGGAGACGAATGAGAGTTTGAACAAGTTAAGGTAAAGATCAGTCAATCAGAATAGAGTTGGGAGGGACCTTGGAGATCTTCTAGCCCAGTGGTTCTCAACCTTCCCAATGCCGCGACCCTTTAATACAGTTCCTCATGTTGTGGTACCCCTAACCATAAAATTGGTGTCTCAGTTCCTAACACCATCGAAAATATGTGTTTTCCGATGGTCTTAGGTGACCCCTGTGAAAGGGTTGTTCGACCCCCAAAGGGTCTCAACTCACAGGTTGAGAACCACTGTTTTAGTCCAGCCCCCTGCTCAAGAAGGAGACCCTACACCAGTGATGGCGAATCTATGGGACGCATGCCGGAAGTGGCATGCAGAGCCATCTCTCTGGGCACGCCAGCCATCACCTATTGCTCTTTTGGGTTCCAGCATGCATGTGCGCGGCAGCCTGCTGGTCTTCGCACATACCGGAGCGCTAGAAACCAGAAGAGCAGCTCCCTGGCGCGCACTCCATGCCGAAAAGGTTCACCAACACTGCCCTATACCTTTTCAGACAAGTGGCTGTCCAGTTTTTTCTTAAAAACCTGCAGTGATGGGAGCACTACAACGTCTGAAGGCGAGCCGTTCCATTGGTTAATTGTTCTCGCTGTTAGGAAGTTTCTCCTTAATTCCAGGTTGCAGTTTGAGATGCCCAATGAGAACGAGGAGGAGGAGGGAATTGAATTGCCTAGTGAAATGGGGCAATTGCTAGGCGGAAGAGCAGGTGGCGATAGTACATTTTCAGTGGGGAGATTAGAGTTCTATCCTTGACCCTTCAGAGCAAAGAGAGTTGCCCTCTCCTGGGGAAGAGAAAAGGAGATAAGCCGGGGAGTTGCTTCTGATGTTCTCTTTCCCACTCCACAGGTGCGGAAACAACAGAAGGAACATACCAACCTCATGGCTGAGTACCGCAACAAGCAGCAGCAGCACCAGCAACAATCCTCCACGGTCATGGCCCTCAGCCCCTCCCAGAGCCCTCGTCTCATGAACAAGCTTCCCGGCCAGTTGCTTTCTACACACGGCCTCCAGCAGGGGACACAAGGCCTGCCTGGTCAGGTCCCGGGGGGCCTGCGCCTCCCTCAGGCTGCGCCCATGGCCGTGCAACAGGGCTTACCGTTCATGAGTCAGCAACAGTCATCGTTGCCACCCCCATCCGGGGCCACCCCCGCCGGCAATTTCTTTCCTGGCAACCGCCTGTTACAGGAGAGACAGCTGCAGCAGCATAGGCTGCAACTGGCTCAGAAGCTGCAGCAGCAGAACTTCATGGGACAAATGACCATGCAGCAGCAGCAGCAGCAGCAGCAGCAGCAAGGCATGATGGGACAGATGTCTGTGCAACAGCAGCAGCAGCAACAGCAGCTTCAGCTTCAGCAGCAAAACCTGATGGGACAGGTATCCGTGCAGCAGCAGCAGCAACAACAACAACAACAAAGCACAATCGTCCAATCTGGTTTGATGGGTCAGCCGCCACCGCCACCCCCACCCACTCCACAGCCAAATCAGAACCTGCTCCCTAAGCCACAAGGGCTGCTGAACAGCCAGCCAGGAGCTGTGATCCAGCAACTCTCTCCGCAGCAGCAGCAGCAACAAGTCATCCTCGGGCACTCCATGCTGCAGCAGCATCAGGGTGTGTTAAGCCACCAGGCTGCCCAGAGGCCAATGCTGTTGACTCCTCAGCAACATCGGGCCCTGGGTTGTCCTCAACAGCTGGCCCAGCAGACTCAGGGGATGATGGGGCACCGGCTTCTTTTGTCTCCTCAACAGCAGCAGCAGCAGCAACAGCCGCCCCCACCGCCACTAACACCACACCAGGCAGGGCTCCTTGGCCAGCAGAGGTTGCTAGGCCAGCAGCAGCAGCAGCAGCAGCAACAGAATTCCCTAGCCCAGCACCAGGCCCTCCTCAGCCAGGGGCAGGGCACGCAGGCAGGAATGTTGTCCCAAGCCCCTCCACCAAGTGCCCTTAGCCAAGGGCAGGGCATAGTCCCCGAGCCTATCCAGCACTTTGCGCAGCAGGGGTCTTTGAACCAGCCCCTGCACTCAAGTCAGGGAATGCAGCCGGCCCTGCCAGCACAGCAGCAGCAGCCGCAGCAGCAGCAACAGCCGCCCCCACCGCCACTAACACCACACCAGGCAGGGCTCCTTGGCCAGCAGAGGTTGCTAGGCCAGCAGCAGCAGCAGCAGCAGCAACAGAATTCCCTAGCCCAGCACCAGGCCCTCCTCAGCCAGGGGCAGGGCACGCAGGCAGGAATGTTGTCCCAAGCCCCTCCACCAAGTGCCCTTAGCCAAGGGCAGGGCATAGTCCCCGAGCCTATCCAGCACTTTGCGCAGCAGGGGTCTTTGAACCAGCCCCTGCACTCAAGTCAGGGAATGCAGCCAGCCCTGCCAGCACAGCAGCAGCAGCCGCAGCAGCAGCAGGGCTTGGCTGTCAAGGAACAGCAGGGAGGGCCGGAAGGCTCCAGCGCCCTTCCCCAGGAGGGAGCAGTCCTGCAGCAGCAACAGCTTCGGCCTCATTTAGGAGGTCAGGAGCTGGGAGGGCAGATGAATCCCCCTGACCAGCAAGGGATGCCTGGCCACGGAGCCCCTTTGCAAGAGCAGCCCCCTCAGCTGATGCTCCAGCAGCATGGGGAACCACAGAAGCAGCAGCAGCAGCAGCCGGCCGATCTGGGCCAAGCACAGCAGCTTCACCTGGACTCTCAGCAGAAGAGCCTGATGGGCCCGATGCAGATGCAGATGCAGCAGCCGCAGCCAAACAGTAACCTGCAGCAGCAAGGCAGCCATCTGCAGCAGCCCTTGCGGACTCACCCAGCAATGGACAGCATCTTGCAGCAAGAGGTGTCTCCCCAGCAACCGCCGCACCACCACCATCAGCACCGGGAGGCCCCTCAGCCTCCCCATTTGCTCGGTCAGCAGATGGAGCAGCAAAGCCAAGGGCAGAACCCCATGGCTCCACAGCAGAGGATGGTGGGCCAAAACCTGGAACAAGCTTCCAAAGGCTTACCGGGCCAACTTGCACAACAACAGCAGCAGCAGCAGCAGCGCCTTCAAAGCCCAGCGGGAACTTCCAAAAACCCTGGGTTGATAATGTCATTGCAGCAGCAGCAGCAGCAGCAGCAGCAGCAGCAGCAGCAGCAGCAGCAGCAAAGTATGATGGTTCCACAGTCATCGGCCCAAGGCCAGAGCTTCCTGGCCAGCCCTGTAATGGGTCAGATCCGGGCTCAGCTTCAGGGAGTCATCTCTAAAAACCCACAGCTCCGGAATCTCACTCCTCAACAGCAGCAGCAACTGCAAGCTCTGCTCATGCAGCGGCATCAGCAGAATTTGCTGCAGCAGAACCAAGCATTGCGGCAAGGCAGCCCTTATCCAGGGCAGGCCCAGGTGTCATTGGACCAGGGCCGGCCAGCTGCTCCCCAGCTTCCCCTCCCCGGCCCCATGGGGCAGCAGATCCCAAGGCAGCCCCCTCTTGCTGTATTCCAGTTTCGTCCCGAGCAGGGATTTGCTGCGTCCGCCGAGCACCAGAAGGTCCCAGTGAACCAGCAGGTGGCCCCCAGTCCTCACCAGCAGGGGACACCAAGGCTTCCGACTCCTCAGACTCCCTCCGTTCCCTTGAGTGTTGCTGGCGTGGCCTCTCTACCACCTCAGCATCTCAGCCCTTCAGAGCCAAAGAGACCATCCCCATTGCTCCTGGCTAAAAGCCCTGAACAGCAGCCGGCTCCCAGCCAGAAACACCAGCCGACCACTCCCAGTCCCCTGCTCTCACCTAACCCAGCGCTTTTCCCTCCAAACACAAAGGAAATGGCTCTTGGCCCCGGGAGCTTCAGAGACTCAGTGTCCCCCACCAAAGTGCCCATGGAGACAGCAGCGGTCAACGGGCAGACGAGGGAATTGGCTTCCTTGGCTGTGGGGAAAGCTTTGCCCCAATTGGGAGATCCTCCCCTTGTTTGTATCAAACAGGAACCCAGGGAAGAGGTAGCCCAGTGTGCACTGATGAGTGGCCCCCAGCCAGTCAAGCGGGAAGCAAACGGGGAGCCCGTCTCGCAAGCAGCCACTGTGGCGGCTGCTGTTACAGTGCCCACTAACAATAACAGCCTCAGCCGCACTGAAGCCGGCCACCTCTTGCTACAGAAATTGCTACGCGCCAAGAACGTCACGCTGGGGACTCAGCGCTCGGGTGATGTCAACGGGCACGTAGACGGCAAATTTGCTGGGACGGAGGGCCGATTGCAGATGACACCAGATGTTCGGGAGGTGAGCATAAAGGGAAAGGGAACAGTGGTGGCTGCAGTTGCAGAAACCCCTGCTTTTTGAGCCCACCTTCTCCTGTGATATCTTGGGGGTTAATGAATACCCAAATTGAAAACTATATCTGAAAGCCAGTCCCATCTACCCAATGGCAGAGAAGGTATTTTTGGCATTGTGGAATGGATTTCACGAAGAATCGATTGGAAAAGGTCTCCTTTTGGGAGAAGGATATCCTTTATAAAAGAAGAGGGCCATGAGGTAGTGCCATCCTCAGCTTTTGATGGGCATCGTTTCTCTGCCCCTGGCTAGCTTGGGCCACCCTTTTATTATGGAGTGGTTAGCAGTCACAGTTGGGAGAGGGATAACGTCACTAAAAGTGGCTTGAGTCAGAATGTCCAGAGTCCCCCCACCCCAAAATAACCCAGAAGGAAATTTTTCATTTTATTTACTTATTTATTTATATCCTGCCTTTACGATTTTTACAAATAATTTCAAAGCGGCAAACAAACCCAATGTATCACCCTCTTCCCGTTTTCCCCATAACAACAAGCCTGTAAGGTGAGTTGGGCTGAGAGGTGGGGGGGGGGGGGCTGACCCAACTTGGTCGTACAATTTCTGCAAATCCTAGATGCTCACATGAGGCTGCAGGGCCTCCTTCTGCCTTTTTGACAGGCTTCAAATGTCTAATGGAGATTCTCAGTCATCCCCATCATGGCCGTCCCAAAGGTGCTTTTCCAAAAGGCAACTGGACTTTCTTGGGTTTTTTTTTTCCCCTTGAAAATGTTTCAGTTCTCAGGCTTCTTGGAAGAGAAGCAAAACGTTTTCAAGGGAGAAAAATGTCCAGTTGCCTTTTGGAAAAGCACCTTTGGGATGACATTGCCTTTCATTCAGGTTTTGAAATAACTTATTTCTGTCCCTTATACAGGTAGTCCTCGACTTACAACAGTTCATTTAGTAACTCTTCAAAGTTATAACGGCACCGAAAAAAATGTGACTTATCATTTTTCACAGTTATGACCTTTGCAGCACCCCCATGGTCATGTGATCAAAATTCAGATGCTTGGTAACTGGATCAAATTTATGACGGTTGCACTGTTCTGGGATCATGTGATTCCCGTTTTGTGACCTTCTGACAAGCAGAGTCAATGGGGAAGCCAGGTTCACTTAACAACTGGGTTACTAACTTAGCAACTGCAGTGATTCACTTAACAACTGAGGCAGGGAAGATCGTAAAATGGGATAAAACTCACTTAAGAATGGAAATTTGTGGCTCCATTGTGGCCGTAAATTGAGGACTACCTGTAATGCTAATTGATTTCTGCCCTTCTCCTACTACAACCATTGAAATGAGGAGTCTAAAAGAAGAACGTACCTCTTTATCCCATTTTTTAAAATAAAAAGCCCCTTCCCCCAAATGTGGTTGAATGTGTAGATTCTCTAGTAAAAGCAAACTCAGATGAGAGGTTTGGCATAGCCATCTGCCGGGGGTTGCCGCTGGGCACACGAGGAAACCATATTTAAAACACCTTCTCTTCCTCTGCAGTGTAAAATAGGGCTGCCCATAATTCTGTCCCTCCTGCTCGGGCTTCTTGATACTTTTGCTTGTCACTCACTTAGCCCGTCTGGGGCAGGGAGGGTTGAGTGGGTGAGCTTTAATAGCTCCATAAAATGACTCCAGTTTTCTGAGGAGAGAAAGGGACTACTGCCTGCCTCTCTTCACCAGGATGTCCTCGCAGCAAAGAAACTCCCCCCACCGAAGCCAAAGCGATCTCAGAAAGCTGGGGAGCGACTTGTCAATTCCCGCAAGAAATTGCGCAAGGAGGATGGAGTGAAGTCCAATGAAGCCCTCATGAAACAACTGAAGCAGGTACAACTCTTTTGGATTTGTCTGGCTGGAAGGCTGAGTCATAATCAAGTGTGTTTGTGTGTTGCATGAAAAAGACCACAACAGTCTTAACTAGATAAATAGGGCTTTTATTTTTCTGACCATGGTCACGTGGGGTTTTTTTTTTGCAAGTATTTGTGTAATCATTAATATTTGAATACATCTACCTACCCAACTACCTACCTATCTATCTATCTTCTTCTATCTTCTTCTATATATATATAAAAATGGCTGTGTGTGTGTGTATGTTCCATCATAACTCTGGAACCCCATGAGCAATTTCAACCAGACTTGGTACACAGATGACTTACTCTCTGGAAACAAATACTGTGGGGGGTAAGACACCTCTAACATCCCTGGGGGAGCGGGTGTTTTGTTTAGATATGGCCTGCTGTGCCTTAAAATGGCTTCTACTGTACTATTGTAAAATGGATTCTACTGTACAGCTCAGTGGAGTTGCCATGGTAATGGCTTCACGTACTCCACAAGGGGGCTCCCTCTTGTAAGGGGG